ATTGGCCTACCACTTGTACTAATAAAGTGCCAAGGGCCTAAGTGGTCACCTTAATATTTAAAAAAAAAAAAAAAAAAATTTTGATTTATTTTATTATAAAATTTTTGGGCCTTTTTGTTAAGGTTTTTTTTTTAGAGTTAGGTTAGGGTTTGAGAGTAGTGTTGTTAGTAAAAAAGTATATGTGAATTTTAGTAGATATTATAGATTTAAATGGGAATTCTAAATTTTAATATTAGCTAATTTCAGTATCATTCTCGACATATACTATTTTATTTAAGGTTTAAAAAAAAGCAGGTTTGTAAGTGGGTGCGCATTATTTAGAAATGTGCATGGGCGTTATTTTGGGTTTTACTTTAAAATCCCGAAAGACAGATTCCCAAAAAAGACATAATACCGACAAAGTTGGCTAGCATTAGTTATAATGCTGGCCAATTTAGTCAGTATTATGTTCCATATGGGTGGAAATTTCTAGTTGGAGCGCTGTGATTAGGTGATAACAAAAGTGATAGTCATATGACATTTAAACTGCATATAAAAATTTATAAGTACTTCTCATCAGTGATCCTGATTTAGGTTAATTTTGGTTATAAATGGGATATAAAAACTCATAAGCAACTCATAAGCAATTAATAAGCAATTTTATGATCACTGATCAAATCATCACTTTTAATTTCAGTAATCACACTATATTTTATATTTTATTGGCCTAAAATCTATTTAATATCATCGTTCAACCTATATAATCACAAAATTTAGAAATTTCTGCCCATATGCTTTCGAAAAAATGGCTTTTAGGATTTCAGAGTAGAACTGTTATTTTGAGACAACATATACTAATTTTAAAATTATGATTTTTTAATTAACACCCATGTCTGTTATTTTATGACAATACAGTAAAGCTCTTCTAACTCTGATCTTAGTATAGACCCTAATCTAAATGAACTTTAAAAAATTTTCCAATTCTCACATGACTGCAACTTTTTGGTGGCGATACTGGGGGTTGTTTCTTGATTTCTCAAAAGCTAGTTCCCTGCCATCTCATTTTCCCGACACCACATCCCTGACAGAATATTTCCTCTACAGCACTTTTTGCCGACAGAATATTTCACTAACATAACATATCTTCTATAGCTTCCTTTACCGATATCCCATATTTATAACAAGATATTTCTCCGACAATATATATTTCTAATTTGACTTTTCTCCGACACTAAGTTTTTTCGAATGCACTTTTTCTGACAACCTATTTTACCGACAGATTTTGTTCACTTTTCATTTGAGTTAATTTAATTTGACATGTTGGTTATTTATTAATCTAAGCTTTATTCATCAAGTTTTCTGGCTTTAATATTAATGTATAATATTTTGAAATTTAATAATGCCAAAGTTTTTATAGCATAATATAAAATACTTTTGCAATTTTCAAATGATTAAAGGTAACTAACGTAAAATTTGTATTTTATTTCTGACTTCTGACTTGCACTCATTTCTCTCAACTATGAATTTTGTAGATTATTAATTGACCGAAATATTCTTTAATTTTCGCCAATTAAAGATAACTTAAATCAATTTTAATGTAAGCATCAAACTTATTATAATTCAAGTTTGCTAAAGAACTTTACTACATGTAAAAATTTCATCCCATATAAAGAACTTTAATATGGCGAGATTATTTAATTTATGCAGGACTATAGTATTAATTTTATTTTTTTTGGTTTGCTTTGTTTTATTTTATTTTGTAAGAGTATGAAAAATTTACTAATTATTTAGCAACTTAGCAGTAAGCAATTTTAGTCATTGCTGATTGAAGTGATTCCACTTTTCAAATAAAGAAAATTGGAAAAGTTCGGCGGAGGGGTTTTTGAATGGAATCTTAATAATTTTGTTTGCAATTTGGCTAAACTTTTCAAAGAAAAATTCATAACCACGAATTATTTCATTATTTGTTGAGTCGTTTTCCAATTTTGCCGTAGTATTCTGTTGAATTTCTTTATAGTTAGTAGAAACTTTCTTCGTTGCTTGGGAAATATCAGCATCATTTGTCAATTCTGAATTATTGTTTTCATATCTAATATCAGATGTTTCAATAACATCTATTTTCAGCATTACTAATTAGCAAACTAGCACCTATTGAAATATTACTATACGATTTCTGAAAGCTATTTTTCCAAAAGAACTTAATACTGACTAATTATTTTTTTCTTTCAGAAAAATGGCTTTTGAAAACTTGAGTACATTATTATATTAGTATATAAAAAAAAAAAAACCATTAATTAGCAATTTGCAGTAGCATTCTATTTATTTGCGGTATTGTAATAGTATCAATAAAATGAATTTAAAATATTTCAAATATTCATGTTAAATATTTTTTGAACAAAAATAAAATTGCGGCCAGAATATAATTAAAGAATTTTGAAACAGATTTGGTATTTTTTAAGTTTCAACAAAATTTTATTCTCTTGAGAATAAAGTACTGAACAAAAGACTTTATAAAATTTTCTTGGCTATGTCAGAAGCACTTATTTTCATTAATGTTTAGATTGTTTAGATTATTTTGATTTTTTTTTTTTTTTTACTATAAGAATTTTGAAATGCATAAACTTTCATTAATAATTATTTGAATTTTTTTTTTGAAGAAAAACTAACGATGTTTTTGATTTTGTGGATGTGGTGGTGTGATCTAGTTTACTCAATTGAAGATGGTATTTCATGTGACCAATCACAACTGGTGGGAGAAATTAGGGCTCCCGAGAATTTTTACTTAGAGTATTGCAGATTAATTAGTTATTCAGTTTTTAAGATTATGCAATATAGGTGGTAAAACACCATAGGTGTGTTTTAGTAAAAGGGCAGGTGGGTCATTTTTTTGGTTTATGTTATGAGAACCACAAAATTAACTTTAATCAAAAAAATGGGTTGGGCCGCAACCCTAATTACAAGTATGTTTTTATTAGAGAACGAAGATTTTTATACATTGTTTAATTTATAAAATCCTATTTAATTTTTTCTAATTAGTATAACACTTATTGCATAACTTTGTATAAATATATCAACCCTGGCTTTTTAATAAAACTTTAAATTTTACCCAACTTTAACCTATTCTAGCTCTTATACTGCCTTATATTTTTGCAATTGATGAATTTACAATAAATATCTTTATAATACTCAAACGATACGTAAGGCAAAACTTGTAATAATAAAAAATAACAAATAATAAATCAAAGAAAAAGAAAAAAAAAAGAAACAAGAAATAAAAAAAAAGAAAATATTTTTGTATTTAAGTTTTTTAATATGAAATATAAAAAAAAAAGAATAATTAAAAAAGAGTAAAAAAAAAAACCCCGAAATAAAAAAAAGAACTTTAAATAAAAAAAAGAAACTCAAAAAAAAAGAACAAAATAAAAAAGAGAACAAAATAAAAAAAAAACAAACCAAAAAAAAAAAAGAAACGCAAGATAAAATAAATATAAAATGAAAAAACTGTGAAATAAGAAAAAAAAAACCAAAATAAAAAAATATAAATTTGTTTGGGGCTATTTTTTTAAATATGCTTGTAGTTTATCATAGCTAAATACACATAATTATAAAGAAATATTATATGCAATACCTCTTAAAAAATCAACAACTGTATAAGTATCACGATTATTAAAAACTGATATAATTTTTTTTTCATGATCAACTAAGTGTTTATGTTGAGTTGGACAAGGCTCACTATGTAACACATATTCAATTTGCATATCAACTTGTTGTTCTTTACGCATCTCCTCAATAATTGTATAAGTACCAAGATGTGCTTTTCCTACAATATTGCTCCATCTATTATGCCATCCTTCAACAAAATTCTGCATTCTAGAAAATCCATTCTCAACTAATTCATGTACTGACCAAAATGATGGCAGAAATAAAGGTGAAATTCGAGTTGTAACTCCATTTCAAAGCTGTTGTCGAATTCTTCCATAAATATAATTATTTTCGAAATAATTAACAATTTCAGTAGCATTAGAAGGCATTAAAGGTTTAATTATATCAAATGCAGCTAGAATTTCTAAATAGAGAAGAAAAGCGAGAGCTACTAAATGACGTAATTTAAAACTAAAACTTTCATTATTGCCGTATTCAATAGCCAATCCTTCAACTTGAATTTTTCTCCAAAAATTTTGACACATAAAAGAAACAACCTTTATGGAAACTTAATCTGAACAGCATTAATGACCGACTGTTCAAAATCAGTTATAATTACAGGTGGATTTAAATTATAACCTGCTTCTTCACTCAAATTTAATAATTCTTGAAACACTTGTTTATAACTCTCTTCTAATTGGTTAGTTATTAAAATATAAACTAAAGGAAAAACACGAAAATTAGTTTCACCTCCAACTGGGGCATAGATAGTGTATAATTGACGAAAAAGTGTAGGTACAGTTTTGAAAGTACCATCCATCAACCAATAATTTGCTTCCTCAAGATAAAGTAAGTTATTACTAGTGCAAAAAATTATAATTTTTTCATTATCAAGATCTATTTCTCTAGCCAAAAATCGTTCTCCTCTCATAGTTACTTGTAATTGATTAGGAACATCTATTTCTTGAAGTGCTTGTGGTTGAGTAGGTACATTTTTAAGTCAAATATGTGAAATCTGCTTGTGTAATGCCTCATTGTTAGGCATATAATAAAAAGAATCTTCAGGCATATTAATTGTTGCATCATGGATTATTTGAGATGGTCTTTCACGGCTTTGGGATACTATTTCTCTCATATTATTTAATGCTTGAATTACATCAGCATGACTTGGTTCAGGTGCATGGTTATGCTCACTAAACTTTTTTAAGACATGACTTTGGTCTTCTAAAATTGTAACTACTCTTCCTTTGCAATTACGAGAATCTTTATATTCACAGCACCAATAAAAAGAGTTATCACGATTTTTGTCTTTTACAAGTAAGTATCCACAAACAATAATTTTTTGTTTATTATGTGTAGTATTAACAGTTGTACATACTTCATGATTTATGATAAATAGTAGGATAAAAAAAATTTTTTTAAGAAAAATTGATAAAAAGGAATTTTTATTGCAATGCGATAATTTTTTTTAATTTGGATATCTTCCTTTTATATTTTAGACCGATGAAAAATTTTAATATCTTTCAATTTAATCTACTGATTGTTAATTCTTTAAGAAAAAACTTGAACAATATAATATAAGTATTTTTATTTTACTTCTTAATTTGTTCAAAACATGCTTTTTTTTAATCTTATTAATATTCTAATCTTCTTTGATAATTCGAAGATACTTCTAAGAATAATTATTTATTTTTACTTGCTTCTTAGATTTGTATCATTTTGCCGACAACTATTTTATTAATATATTAATTTATAATTAAGACTAATTTAACTTCTATTATATTCTTATAAATAAGTTTTATATTGATAGTTATACTAAAGATTCTTGTGCTACCATAGCTGTAAAGCCCAAACACTGTAAAATTATACTATAATTGTAGTTGCAAAGCTTAATCATAATTAAAACAAGATATTTGTATTACAACTGCAGTTATATTACTCTAAATTGCCAAGTTATTACAGGATAACTGAAAGTAAAAGAAAATAATAAAATTTGCCTTTATTACAAGCAAAAAGAAAAATAACTTTTCAATAAAAGATCATCATTCTGTTAAAGTCAAATAATTACTTTTTTACTTCGCTATACTAATTATTATAACTCAAGTAGTTCAATATATATTATAATTGTATGTAATTACTACATTAACTAGAAATTACTTGTATTTAACAAGATATTTTATAATTTATTACAACACAGCGTATAAAAAGCTAAAACAACAAAGAACATACGATCTTCACAAATTTAATCTTACAATAATAGCCGCTTTGTCACTTTATTGACAAGCTTCTGCTTTTGTTAATATAACGGGCTTTGCAATTTTTTTAACAAGTTTTAATCAAGTTCTGATCTACATAAATCCTGTATTTAATATAATAATGAAGATGCAGACAAATATTGGTAAATATATAAAAATGGCAAATAAATATATGAATAAAAAATTTTTTTGCAAAATTGTAATACTATGTTGTAACTAAAAAAAGCTAGTAATATTGTAATTTATAAAAGTAAGTATATAAGTACATACATATGATACATGCATAATACATATATAATCTTATTTTTGTGCTTCTGTATTAAAATTTTTTAAACTAAACCAAAAAAGTAAAGTAATAAAGTCCATA